GCGGCGGGGTCACCCTCCTCAGCTGGGCCAGATGAGTCAGAAGAGATCTCCAAAGGCTCAACCAAGGGGGGTGGGTCTACCTAAGACACACCTGAGGGAGCAGGACCCTGTGGGGGGAGGGGGTCTACCGGGGGGGGGACTGGTACCAAGAAAAGAGGCGCTAGGGGGATTGGGTGGGACGCGTGCGGGTGTAGCCTGTAGTAACAAACAAACTCGTCAAAAGTGACGTCCTGGGAGGAGAAGACTCGACGCGAGCGCGTGTGGTAAAACTGCCACGGCGGGGCGGTGGTGGGGAAGCCAAGGAAGACGCAGCGGAGAGTGCGAGAGGAGAGCTTGCTCGCTTTGGCATCGCAAACAAGGGAGAGCGCGCCCCAGACCCGAAACACCGACGCATCGCCAACCTTCCCCGTCCAACGGAGTGTGGGCGAGGTCTCTGGCTCAGAGACATAGGGTCAGAGGTTGAGCTGATGAGCAGCGTATCGGACCGCAAATGGCCACTGAAAATGGGGAGCAGCCGCATGGATCATGGAGGTACAAGCAACCTCCATGATCAAGCCAATGCAACGCTCAGCAATCCCATTTTGCTGAGGAGAGGCCAGAAGCGTGAACGTCTGGATGATGCCCTCGTCTCGAGAGAACTCCGCAAGGAGGTCAGAAGAGAACTCACTGCCCCTGTCAGAGTGCAGACGCAGGACTGGGAAGTCCCGTTTGAATCGCTCGCGCAGCTGGCGACGAGTAGCACGGACTACTAGCAGGGAGCACCCTACTTCCTGCGACGAGTAGCACGGATCCAGACAGTGGTGTAACGTGTGTAGTCGTTAACAACTAGCAAGAAGTAGCGCTCCTGGTCCGTTCCACAGACGAGGGCTGGGCCCCAAACGTCCATGTGGAGAGTCTGCAGAGGAGATGTGGTTGGAGGAAACTCGGAGGAGTGATGAGCGGCGCGCTGCCGCCCCTCGACGCAGGGAAGGCACAGCGGGGCAAGCGAGCGCGGGAGGGAGGGCAGGGACCTGACAGAGACAAGGAGACAGGAGTGCATAGCGCGGAGACACGGTAGGGAGGGGTGACCGAGGCGGTGGTGCCAGAGGAGAGTCTGGTGGGAGAGTACCCGACACGAGCAAGACGCTGCAAGCTGACCAGACACAGACACCTGACTCAACGCAGCCACCTTACCTGCCTCAGCCAATAAAGGAATCAACCCAGACATCCTGAATGGCAGCGTTGCTCACCAAGTTCGTCGAGAACGTGGGGAGGTGGAGACCTGACAGAGAACCGGAAGGGACTGCTGGACACGGGAGAACAGTGGAGGCTCGTGCGACTACTGGGCCCCCAGTGGGGTCAGCCAGTGAGACCGGTACCGGTGCAGCAAGTGGTGTGAGTGTGGTGCAGTCACGAAAGAAGCAACGTGACGCGCCTGAGTCAAGTGTGAAATTGTGCAAGGCCTCAGCTGAGGAAGGACATGTGGCGGGAGACGCACGAGCACCTAAAGCTGCAACAGACTCACTAGCACCTAGTGCGGCAGCAGACTCACTAGCACCTAGTGCGACAGCAGACTCACTAGCACCTTGTGCAGCAGCCTTGACAGAACCAGTGACACATTGCTAAGGAAACAACTCACTAAGCACCTGCGGGGAGAAGGTCTCCTGCTGACTCTGGTGGCGCCTCTATGCTGTACGTAGAAAGCCAAAGCCTCCACCACATGGACGGGCTCGCTGAAGAACCCACTCGCGAAGCTGCTGAGGGGTGGGGTCGTCCAGGAGAGGCAGTGACCGCCGCTGTCCACCCCTAGCCGCTGCAAATGCCGTGATAGTGGCCATGACAGGCAGTGACGGTCAGTAGTAGGTCGAGCACCTCCGGCACCAGCAGCACCTCCAGCACTCCCAGTCGCACCTCCGGCACCAGCAGCACCTCCAACACTCCCAGTCGCACCTCGAGCACCCCCAGCACCAGTAGCACTCCCAGCACTCCCAGCAGCACCTCCACCAGCAGCAGCAGTAGCATGAGCAGCAGCAGCAGCACGAGTGGCAGCAGGGCAGCTCGGTGGGGCTGGTGATCAAGGTAGGGAGGCGCGGCTCAGGCTGGGCGGTGCGGCTCGGCCGGGCAGGGCGCGCCCCGGGCTGCAAGGCAGGGCGCGCGGTGGACAGGGCAGCAGGGTGCGCGCTGTGCAGGGCAGCAAGGCGCGACGCGAGGGGCAGCAGAGCGCGACGCGCTGGCTACAGTAGGGCGCGACGCGCTGGCTGCAGCAAGGCGCGACGTGCAGGGCAGCAGAGGGCGACGCGCTGGCTGCAGTAGGGCGCGACGCGCTGGCTGCAGCAGGGCGCGACGCGCAGGGCAGCAGGGCACGACGCGCTGGCTGCAGCAGGGCGCGACGCGCAGGGCAGCAGAGCGTGATGCGCTGGTGCAGTAGGGCGCGACGAGCTGGCTGAAGCAGGGCGCGACGCGCAGGGCAGCAGGGCGTGACGTGCAGGCTGCTGCAGGGCGTGAGGCGCGGAGCAGCAGAGCGCGATGCGCGGGCTGCAGCAGGGCGCGACGTGCAGGGGGGCAGGCAGTGCGAGTAGCTGCAGGGCAGCGCGACACTGTGCGAGCAGGGCCGAACAGTGCAAGGACGGTTCGGGCAGGAACGAGCGAAACTATCAGTGGGTCCTAAAAACTTAACAGGTTTTCTGCTATGAATACCATGTCAGAATAACTGCGCAGGAATGATTGGAAGAGCAAGAGTTGGGGTACAAGTACGGTAATCCTAGAAATGCTGTACCCGATAAGGAGTGTCCCATTATAGCTGTTGGAAACAAGTAACTCAAACACTTCTGAAGTATCGAAGTATCGATACGAAACGAAGCAGACTACAGTGAAGCAACACGAGTCAACAAAAGCAACCGCTGGAGGTTACGCGAAGGGCAAAGGTCGCTGACCTTTGACTCGACGAAAAATGCAGTGCGACAGCAAGGACACATAACTGACTCGATACTGAGCAGTTACCCGAGTCGGCACTGTATCGAACCGCAACAGCAAAAACAGTTAAAGCAGAACCTGTCATATTCCGTTGTAATCATACAAGAGCCTTGTATTTCTCTGCTATTATTAACTTATCTTGTTCTCACACACTAGTACAAGGTGGTTCAGCAACTCTGATATTAAACGCTTCCGCAACTACAACATTCCTACTTCAACCCCGATCTTAGCCTCGAAAGATCCTAAGGGCTTTTTCTCAGCCCAACAATAGCCTACAAGTAAGATTGTACTTTGGCAGCTGTTACAGACGCGTTGCTTCGTTACGAAGTGACGCGTGAGTGGAGATCCTTTGGGGGTGTTACTTTGACCTTTCGGTTATTCCAACAACATCAAAATGATAGTCTTTTGAGCACAAAGATACCCGAACATGGCATCATGTGTGGACAAATCATAGGTATCATTTAAGCGCAATAAGCCAACAAATCAAGGTTTTTGCGAATTTTTTTCCTCCTATATTTTGTTTTATTTTGGAATTATTATGTAGAAAACACACTCATGCATCAAGATTTTTCTTTAGGATAAAGAGTTACCCAGAGTTGATGCATTTTCTGGTTAGCATACAAGATTGTGTGTAATAAGCAGCCAACACTCTGTATGTTTCATTCAATTGTGAAGTGATTGTTGCGAGCATTCAACTCATGCAGTGTGCTGGTAAACGCACAGTGCTTGGGACGACATTACACGTGGCCCGAATCATCCAAGCATACGACGTTTGTCTGATTGGTTGTGAGTCATTGCCCAATCCATTTCCGTGAGGCCTGTCCAATCCGTTGGCAACTGAAATCCCAGTGCGACGTCCAGAAGCTGATCGGTTGGCTTTGCGGATGCCCTTCCCTGACCCAGTAATGTAATCACACAACCCCACTTTCTCAGTTTGCCAGACTTCGCTCCAGCAAGCTCATCCAACTTACCTAACGCCCTTCAGCCAAACTAAGAGCTGACGCCATGGCCGCCGTGTCCACCTCCGCTCTTGTTGCCCCCAGCTCTATCAAGAGCTTCGATGGCCTCCGCGCCAGCGCCACCCCCAGCCGGGTGGTGAAGTTCGCTCCCCTGAAGGGCAAGGGTGCCCTTGGTGCTCGCTGCGACTACATTGGCTCCCCCACCAACCTGGTCTGTGCCCGCTGTGACTACGTTAGATATGTTTCTGTCTCCATTTTTTCCACGATTCATCGCGGTGCTGGTTTCGACTAGACATATCGCCGTACTCATTTCGACTCAAATCCGTCTGCCTTTCTTTCGTCCCTCTCTTCCTCCAGATCATGGTGAGCTCCATTGCTCTGTGCTTCGTCGCTGGCCGCTTCGGCCTTGCCCCCTCGGCGAACAGGAAGTCCAGCGCCTTCCTGAAGTTGAGCGAGAGGGAGACTGGCCTTGGCACCAACGACCCTGCCGGCTTCACTGGCACTGATGTGCTTGCGTTCGGAGTTGTCGGCCACGGCATCGGCATTGGCATCGCCCTTGGCCTCAAGTACATCGGCGTGATCTAAGCGCTACCAATGCTGTACATTCCAAGAATAGATAATGAAACGTCTTAATACAATTCTTAATTTAAACAATTCCCAATATTATCCAAGCCCCTGCGGATCTTGCTGCATGTCTACCAAACCCATGCGCACCAAAGCCTGAAGTTTCATATGCTCGCACCATGGTTGTAGTACACATCAAGCCTGGTGCTACACAACAATGTATGTACATGGAAAGAAATCCTAGTACCGTACTATCCAAGCCCGAGAGGAGCATGCTGAAGCAGTAGTGTAACCATTTGACATCCACCAGCAGCATTTACGTGCTGCATGTCTACTGGTTAATGTCAATGCACGTCAAAGCTTGGTGTCACTGAAAACCACTGAATGTTCCATGCTCACCAAGGTACACGTAAACTCTGATGTGCTGCAGCAGGACACAATAATGTGAAGACATTCATAATTTCATGGTAATATCCAAGTCCGAGCGCAGCATGCTGCATGTAGAATGAATTGTCCCATTTCACATCAAAGCTTGGAGTCACTGAAATCACTGGAGATTCGGTGCGCACCGTGGTACACATCAACTCTGCAGTGCTGCACCCCCCAACACAATGATGTAGACAGTAGAAATAAGTGAAGTGCTGCAATCAAGAACATTCGTCTGGGGCTACCAGTACAATACCTGATGGATTGGCATACGTTGTCTCGTAGACACAATAAGGTCCATGTCAATGTCCAATGTTGCAATTCCTGTTGCAACTGCATCTGCAGGTAGACAGCAACCAGAAGAGAGGCAATTGCTGAGCAGCTTCCTTGTATCATGCTGACAGTTGCCAGCGTAGCACTACATACCTTTGCAACGAGCAGCAACTCTACCCCATGGATCTACGACAAGGGCATGACCATAACTGTCTCTGCGATCATTGTGTCGGCCTGCTTGAGCTGCTGCGATGACCTGCCACGTGGAAGCTCAGCTTGTCAGCCGAGTGCTATACCAAGCAATAGCAGTTGGAGACAACAGAGCACTCACATAGCATTGGCATTCTATGGCACGTGCTCTCAAAAGAACTTCCCAGTGAGCCTCTCCAGTCTTCTGGGTGAATGCGGCAGGAATAAGAAGTACCTGCTCAAACAAACAGAGCACACTGCTCACTGATGTGCTCCTTACCACACAAGCCAGCTGCTTGATTATTCGGACTTACATCACAATGATGATCGAACCGGAGCCGCTGATAGAGCTCCGGAAAGCGTAAATCATAGCAAACGGTTAAACCAAGTCGGCCAACTGGAGACATAGCAGAGACAACGCTTGATCCCGGTAGTGTGCTGTTGCTCTCCGTCAGGACTGGTCCCCCTGGAACATTCACATCGAACCTGGTTCAGCAGCATGAAGTTATGTTAGGGAGGTACACGTGCACAGAATGCAGCAAAGGAAAACTGAATGATGGGAACTGCCAAAAGAGATTGAGGGTTCCATTACAGATGAATCTTTCTGTAAGCTGCTTGAATCGTCCCTGTGTCATCCACGAGCACATGAGTGTTGAAGAAACGTTTGCCTGCGTCAGGACCTCCTGCCTCCTGAAATCCTCCCAAAGATAGCCAGATAGAAAAGTTTCTGCAAGCCACAAAAGATGGCGTACAGGCGGCGCAGGCATAAGGTACGACTGTAGAACATGCTTGCTTGTCAACAGAGTGTGATTGCTTGCATCCAATGTTGTTGCTGGTTTTGAGATGTATTCAACATTGTCGTGTTATGAAACGTACCGTGCCAGTTGGCAGTACTTCCTCATGAGTGGACCATCAAGTGGCTCAGCAACTGCCGCAGCTTCTCCATCCCGTTCACCAATGAAGGAAAAGCACTCGGGGAGACAGAGGAGGGTTGCACCAGCTGCAGCTGCTTGCTGGAGTCATAAAAGAGTAAGAGTAAATATAAAGTAAGAGTGAAGCCGGAAGAACAAAATAAGGATAACTATGATAGCACTAAAGGATTCCTCACGTCACAGTCATGAGGCTTACCTCCACAAGTAATTTGCACGTAGCGTAGTTCTTCTCAACATCACCAACTGCTGTCATTTGTGCCACAGCCACCCTCCTGCTGCCACCACGACCATTTCTCTCAATAACAGCCCCTTCAGTATCCAGCTTTTGCTGATTCTCACCCAATTGCTGCTGAATACGGCCTCTGCCAACCCCAGAAAGCGTCGTTCGGTCGGCGTTGGATCCATCAAGCATGTCCCCTGATGGGGCTTTCAGAGATGAGTCGTCGACATTTGGAGCCATGGAGCCACGGAATGCCATGCAGGCGATTTGTTTAAACGGGGCGAATGCGCGCAACCTAGATGCCACTGGAACGCCCAGTGATCCGGTGCGCAATCCAGTCTTCAACGTGAGCGATCTCTCAAAAATTGGTTTCACTTGAATTAGCTGAGTTTTAGCATGAAACAACATCAGGATCCGTAATGTGCCTGAACCAAGAATTGCAACGACGCGCTTCGCATTCCGTCAAGGGTTGGTCATGGGGAATGAACCGACAGACGGATACGCACTAGACGAAAGAGTCGCTCACGCCACCATAAAAAGGAAACCTAGCCGACTCTGGGTTACTATGTGTCGGGGGATATTCCGTGAACGCCACAGCAATGGGACCTCTCTGCTTTGTGTTGCTTGAATCCCATGTATACGAACACTACAGAGATACATGTAAGGAATGCTGTTCTTGCATCCATCCATGCCATGGAGGGTGAAAGTTGGTGGATGTTCCAAAAACGATGGTGACACTTCCAGGCAGATCAACATGCTGGTGGCCAGTCAGAGGGGCAGCTCCGCCATGCCTTGACGTCACCTCACACAAGAAAAGCTTCTGACTGACGTGGCGACGCTGGTTCACACGCATCCGACCAGTTTGCTTGGGCCGACATGCCAAAGCGGAGAACTGGGCTCGGAAGGGCGAGGTTGAGGCCAAATTCTCGTCACTGTCTCAGCTTCGCCAAGCTCATGCCACTGCCATACCAGAGAGGCTATTTGATTGGGTGTTGTTTTCCAGGCCTTGAGGATTTCAACTTCTCGGATTGGCCTAGATTGATGCCCAGCTTCAAAATGAGGTATGGTTTCAACGAGACTGAGAGAATTTGACTAACCCCAACCAATGCCATCTCTCAGCGCAGGTATCTTTGCCTTGACGGGCAGCCCAGCACAACCAAAGTGCACCAAGGCGGGCCACGTGCTCTCCGAGGCTGATGAAGGCAGACCAAACCCAGGTTTTGCCCACAGCCAGCTGTTCAAGGCACTGCGATGTTAGCACTCGGTTCAGGAAGAGGTGAGCTGAGGAATCCTCTCGAGACGATGGTCTACTCCGCGGACGGAAACGAAGGCGGTTGCTGCCTTTCTCCATCATCTGAAGGATGACACATGGCTTTTGCTCATGAAGCCCTGGTTTGTTCTTTCAGGAAGTGCTGGAGGTGTGTTGTAGGTGGGCTTCTTTATCCAGTTCAATGGTCAGCCTGATCTATGGACCAGGCACACCCTCTAACCAGGGTGTTCAGAGCTGGCTAGGTTCCATGTTTCCAGTGTAGACTGGTTTAATTTGATAGACACTGACCGTTATTGGGACGTTGCCGCGCATCAGTGTGATAGTAGTGCTTTCACTTCTTCTCGAATTCCAGGCTCCGTCATTTGCGTTAACCACGTTTCGCGTGCCTTTGTTGTAGAAATACGATAAGATAGGTGGATATGGTGAGGCATGCTGCTCCTAGGGGCCTGGGAAGGCATTGTCATTGTTGCCGGCAAAAGAGACCAACCGCTGAGCTAATTCCATGTGGAGCGTCGCAAGGTGAAGGTGGAGCTAAACATGGCCCGTGGTGCCATAGGTGCATCCTCACAAAGCTCCACAAAAACCTGTCGTTTATAGCAGCAGCATCTATGGCAGCCAAAAGGGGGACCTGGCGATGTCCAAGGTAAATTAACATATCCAGAAAAACTCACTATGCCTCGTTGCTTTGGGCTCCACGGGATCCACCATGTTTGATTAGCTTAGTATTGCTTCCTAGCCTATAACCAATTTCATGACGTAATGTTTCTTTCGTGTATTCGTTGTGGCCAGGTGTGATGATGTGTGTCCTTGCAACAAATGTGTTCAGAGAAGAAGCAAGGACGGAAGACAGAGACGAGGGAAAAACCAGCCCAGGTTATTTCTCATTTGTCTCTACTGTGCTTGCGGTTCCCGCGCATGGTCGGACTTGCCGTAGGTGATGTAACCGAGTATTTCTTGCCGTGTCGTGCAGGGAGGGAACCAGTGGATTCGAGTTTGGTAAGGGAATTGAAGACCTTCACATTAGTGGCTCCTCGCATGCTGATGACGACTCTACTCCTGGGGTGTCTCACATCGGAAGAGCTTCATCGAGTGGGTGATGGTGAGACTTGACCGTCTTATTTTTAGAATCCACGTTCTCACTGACTCTTTTTCGCTGGCAGGCATTCCTCAAGATGATGAAGCATATGAAGGCGCTCTCGGCTTGTGCGCTATCCTAAAGAAGGTCGTGCCTTTGGTGCTATTTCTGGATGCGTTCGAGGCACCCCTTGACTCAGCTATCATACTAACCTACTACATTATTTCTCACTTTCAGGAAGAGGAGGAGGAGGATTCGCATTCCCATTCGCCATCGGATTCAAGTGATGTGCCAACACCTCCACAGCAGCAAAACTCTGGGACCTCTCAAGATCCGAGACTCCCTGCATCAGATGATCAACCAGCCGTTAATAGTTCTGACGAGAAAGACGAACACTTATCTCCCGCTGAGCTGCCATGGACCCCTCGGAAGAGCAGGTCGGCTTTCAAGCGCGATTCTTCAGCAGCTAGATCCAAGGACGTTCTTCAAGAGTGCCATTCACAAGCCTTTGCTCGAAGAGAAAAAGTGACGGTACGACTTGACTTCATGATATGCCTGCCGTTTGGATTATTTTTCTTACAGCATCTCATATCCTCTCTTTTTTTCCTGCAGGATGTGCATGCTGTGCCACATCAAGTTGAAGAGAACTTGGAACTTCCATTAAGGCACAAGCTGCCTAGATACTCTGTTGATGAGGAGCAGCAACCAACGTTCCTGCATGACAGCCATTTGCCATTTCCTGGGATTCGTGGGTCCAGGAGCTTTACATACCAGATGCAGGATAGCACTCTGGGTTGCCGTTCAAACATCGGACATAAGGGTGGGCAACCGAAGCCGGGACTGAGGCTTTCCGGGTCAGCAGACGCATTTCAATATGCCATGGGGGGAGATGTGAGCAATTCACCTGCTAATGAGCGCTTTTTTTCTGTTGGAAGACTGCAAGATTCGATCTCCCCTCGCTCGGCGTCTGTTCCGCACACTCCAGTTCGGCGAAAGCTTTCTCGCAAAGGCATTCCATCAAGGAGTGATTCGGGCATTGATTTCAGCCTGCTAATTGAGCCATCTTCCCCATGCAAGGCAGTCAGCCCATGTGTTCTTCCGCGAACAGCAGCTGAGCCTCCTGTAATTAATCAACATAGAATGAGTGTATCAGCTGCTGGTTTGGAGTCTGATGAGCATTGTGCAAGTGAAGTCTCCATTGAGAAGCTGGAGACACTTCGACCTGGTAGCAGCAAGGAGGATGACGCAACTTCGTCCTTCTCACAAGATGTACAGGTGCGACTTTTTGAAGTCAGGAAGGCATCAACAAGTCCTGGGACACCGCGCATGTTGAAAGCAGAGCCGTACAGTGTATGTGCTGGTCCTTCGACCAGCAGACTCGCTGCTCTGGGTACTCATGACAGGATGCGCTCAGACAAGAAAGTTGCAGCTGCTGTTGCAGCAGCATTGAGACTGTGCGTACCTGAGATTGCTGGGTCAGGGTCCTCTTTCAAGACATCTAGTTCGTCTAGTGACTGTTCTGAAGGGCGCTGCCAAGCAAGTCCTGGCACTGATGAATCTCCACCTAAAGCAGGGAAGGTGGAGAACAACACAACCTCTGACCTTGCACTTCGTCGTCACATGAAGCTTCCACGTGGAATGGTTAGGACTCCGGAAAATCCCGGTGCTTCTCCTTACAACCTTATCCAAGAGGGGCTCACTCATGATCCCTGGAAGCTCTTGGTTGCATCGATGCTTCTGGAAGGTCATCCTTCTCACATGGTATGTTCTGCGTTTGTCAGTCCGTTTTGGTCAATGTCATAGCATGGCAACTAACACTGTGGGATATCATGGCAGGTGCGGCTTGGAGTAAGGAGGTTGTTTCAAAATCTTCCCTCAGCAAATGACGTCTTATCTTCTGACATCCGAACACTGCAACAGATAGTATGCAGTGCAGGCTTTCATGAGAGCTGGGCAAAGAACTTGCTCATTTTCACCCGAGAATTCTCATCAGGAAACTGGGCTCAGATAACTGACCTCCCAGGAGTTGGCAGGTACGTATGTGGGTTGCCTTATCTAATTTGATTCACCGTTTTCTCAACCTGACTGACACTGCCGTACTCACCAGGTACGTTGCAGATGCATATGCGATCTTCGTTGAGGGCCAACTCCAGTCAGTACATCCATCAGACAGCAGCCTCGTGAAGTATCAGAGGTGGGCACTGTGCCGTGAATAGTGAATATTAAAACATGTTCATTTGCTGTAATTAGTTCAGCTACGAGTGCTGGTAGTTGTGTTTGTGAATATTGTTAAACTTTTGTACATATCTCATTATAATCTGCCTTGCTTCTTTCGAAAGCCTACTCCACCTGTAGGAATTGACACAACTGTCGCATTCTGACATGTAGCGGACATCTAGCAATGTCAAGGCTGCCGCAAGGAGGTAAGTGTGGCTGCCACCTATCAATGTCAAAACTCCTTCGGTGAGACAAGTGCGGGATGGAAAAAAGATATTGCGAAGGTTGTTCCACTTTAGTTAAGAATAAACACAGGGAAACCCGTACTCAATTTAAATACATCTAGTCGGAGTAGATGCGGCACTCGTCAGCATCAGGGTTCTCGTCGCAGTACTGCTCCAGGGGGTCGGAAGACTTCTGGGCCTCCTTGTGCGAAATAGCGGCAGAGATCTCCTCAACCTCGTCCCACGCCACAGCACACTCCGCAGATCCCGAGTTCGGGTCAGCGCAGACGTTCTTGGCTTCCTGAATCTTCTCCTCAATGACCTTGTCAAGCTCAGGTTGCGAGCTAGCGAACACCTTCAATGACCGGGCAGGAGTAGCGCGCACGGTCACGGCGCTCTTCACGGACTGAGAGAAGGCAGTTGACCGCCTCAGGCCGCAAGGGGCGGTGGGGGCAACAACGAAGGCGAGGGAGGCCATGGTTGGCTAGAAAACTGAACAAATTAGGACGAGGAAAGGTCTGGAGCTGTGAGTGAAAGACCGCACAAACGGATGATGAACTGTGATGAGGTCAATTGACAGGAGATGGTGGAAGCTGGGGGTATTGGCGAAGGAGTGGTGGAAGAGCCGGCGAGAGATGATGGGCTAGAAAGGCGGGATAGGTGAATGATGATCTGGGGACGTGGAGAGGTTCAGGGCAGAATAGCTATGACGTGGAATACATTTGCCACATAGACCACCTTGCCAGGCAAGCTGACATGGCGAGCCCACCGCCTGCCATATAATATCAGAGTTGAGCACTTCCCACCATCCGAATGATATTACCCTAGGCAGTTTGGTGTCAGGTTTGCACCCAATAACGCTCGGGCACGCTATCGTCTACACCCTACAACGTGGACGCTCGATCCAAGAGTAAACATCGGAAAATATTTCATTTTGGTATGAGCGAACAATGCAAAGATGAAAAACATTTGTGCTATATAATTCCCAAAGTAATTACTCAGAATAAAAATATATGGAGATAAAATTTTAAACGTAAAGAGAGAATAAAACTTGTTTCCCCTTCCCCAAGGGCTCAAACCAGCAGTGGCTCGTGATTTTCTATATATATTTTAGAACTAGACACTGCTTGTAGTACAAGTGCGTGTAATGGGATAGTTTGCAGAGGGTTTCCCTCGTCACCATGACGCCAACAACAGCAATTCCTTCCCAAGGTCACTTATCCAAATCCCACGTTCTTTCTCACATAATCCACGGCTTCCGTTGACCTTCTCCAGTCAATCGAATTCGTTGTCGCGAGCTTATACCCGTTACCCGGCGTTGACCCCAGCTGCTTCGCTTCGTCTCGTGTTCTCAACCTCATGTTTCAGGGCGTGCATGCGAGCTTCATAGAGGGCGGAGTGCACAAGGCGCGGATCCAGGTGAAAAAGCTGTTGCACGCTTGGACACTTGGCATTTTTCGACTGTTTACCATCGAGTCATAAAGCTACATGCTTGACACAGTCACGAAAAGGAGTGCTAGGCTGGGAGGTGAAACGGAGTGCGCGGAGTCTCTTATCTTCTAAGATTCTGAATCAGCTTATCTATTATATTTAGTTCGCACGGATTAGTCCAGAATAATTTCTCTCATGTGATGGGAAATTCAGCCACGACAACTTATGGCAGAAACCGCTCTCCCACTCTTCCCCAACCATCCCCATCGCTTCCGTCTCCCCCCTCTCCTTCCATGCCGCGGCTTCCCTCCGCCAGGTGTGGAAGCGGAAGCTTGTGCAGTTAGAGGGGGGATTCGCAGCAGGCCCCACGGAGCCTCGTGTCACGCACGTGCTGGCTGCCGATTGGCGGAAATTGCAGCAAGCCACCTCGTGGCAAGTCCCTCCACCAGGAGTGAGTGGTTGGTTTTTTCATCAACGTGTCGGATTTAGATTGAGCAAATCCAGAAGTGTTACCTTGGGGTTGAGTGGGGTGTGATTGGGGTGTGAGTAGCCGTTTACCATAGTTATTGGGGTGTTGTTTCTGGGGATGAGTGGAGGTGAGTGACTCATAGTCTTTAGAGCTCTGGCTCATTGTGTGTGGAGGTCAATTACTTGTTCATCGCCCTCTAGTCATTGTCCTCTAGGACGTGTTTTCCGCTATTCGTTTCTCTTGTTTGCGCTGCTCTCTCAGCCTGTCACCACCAGGTGGCAATGGGGTTTCTGTGGATAGAGAGCTGTCTCAAGAACGGCTCGCGCTCGCGCCTTCCTTTTCTGAGCGAGTCTAATGTTCTGAATCCCCTCTTGGTTCCGTGTGTGTGTGCTGCTCCCGCATCATGCCACTGCCAGGTGACAGTGGTGGAGTTTGCATGGATAGAGACCTGTCTCAAGCACGGGTCTTGCTCTTCAAGACTTCCTAGAACCCGCTTGTACCATTCCTGATATTCCTCTTTCTTCCCCATGCGCACTGCTTTCATGACCTGCCACTTCCAGGTGACAGTGGTGGACTTCGCATGGATAGAGAGCTGTCTCAAGCACGGGTCTCGCCTTCCCGAAGCTAAGTTCTTGCTCCGCTCCTCACACAGTGCCTCACACAACGCCTCGCACGGCCCACAGTCACACCAAGGCGGAGCTGCATGCGTTGCGGATGCTGATTTTCCTGCTGGCAGGGAGGTCAAGGGGGTTTCTGAGCGAATCAGGAATGGACACGTGGACGCTGCAGGTGACAGCGCGGGGAGAGATGAGGGGGGTGCGAGGAGTGGTGGGGGGGAGTGGATGGATGAGGAAGGAAATGGGGGAGCTTCGGGTTTGACCTTGGCTCGACAGTTGCAGGAGGGGAAGACAGGAGGGAAGGAGGAGGGGAGTGATGAGGAGGAAGAAAATGGGGCGGCGGTGGGTCGTGCTTTCGCCCAAGGTGGGCGGCAGGATTCGGAGCTTTCTGAGGAGGAGAAGGCGTTTTGGATGGAGGTGATATTTGAGAGTGCAGCTTGGGCGGCAGTTGTGGGGGAGGAGGAAGTGGGCGGGCGCGAGGGGGGGAGTGGGGGAGGGTATGGGGGGAAGAGGGGATGGGGGGGAGGAGGCAGAGGGGGTGGGAAATGGGGAGGGGGAGGGGGGAAGCGGAGGTACGTGAGTGGTACAGACAGGTTTGGGGCGGAATGGAAACGGTGGAAGGCGGGGGAAAAAGGGGAGAAGGGGGGAAAGAGAGGCAAGGGGGGAGGCGGAGATGAGGAGATTGATGGGGTGGGGGGCATGGGTCTGTCTGGGCGGGTGATTCAGCTGGTGAGGGAGGGGGAGGAGGTGCTGGGTCACACCCAGGGGCTGTGCGTGGCGGGGGGGGAGAGAGAGGATGAGAAAGAGGGTGGGAGGGAGGAGGTGGCGCAGGGGAGGAGGGAGGGTGCGAGGGAGGGTGAGGAGGTGCTGGGTCACACCCAGGGGCTGTGCGTGGCTGGCGGGGAGAGAGAGGATGAGAAAGAGGGCAGGAGAGAGAATGAGGCAGAGAGGGGGCGTGGGGAAGCAGTGCAGAGGGGGAGGGAAGGCCTGACGGAAGGGGAGTCAGGTGAAAACGCAGAGGAGGGCAGGTTAGGCAGGGAGGAACGAGAGGAGGGGAGAGGCAGAGAGGGAGGGGAGAGGGGAAGCAGGGAGGGAGACACACAGTGGTCTGATAGCCATGAGGGCACATGTGGGGACTTGTAGGGATTTCCGTGCAGCTATGACAGTGCTGGCTCGCAGGGGCAACGAGATGGGTCGCAGTCTGAGCTGATTGAGCCGTGTGGAGACTCACAAACGCGGAAGGACACACAACAGGTCTCACAAAGAGACTCACAGCGAGCCTCACAAACGTGTCAGGACGCACAGCATGATTCACAACATGACTCGCACCGGGACTCATGCCATGCCTCGCATCAAGACTCGCAAGTCTCAGGGGTCGCTTCAGTCCCAGGGGGTGCCTCAGTCCCAGGGAATCAAAGGGCATTGGGGTGGGAGCGATTGCGAGGGCGCGGGTGTTTCTGCCGGGGGCTGTACCTGCCGCCTGACCTGAATAAGGAGATTTGCCGCCAGATGAACGAGCTCAAGAACATCTACAAGGATGGTACGGTGCGGTGCTAAGTGGTGTGGTGTGTGGTGGTATTGGTATGGTGGGGTGTGCTTCCGCTGGGGGACGTGTCTACAAGAGGCAATGGCTCTATTCCCCCTGTTCTGTGCTCAAGACGCTGCCTCTCAATCCACATCTGTAACAATCCCCTCTATTTGCCCCCCCCCAGGCCTGGGCGACGAGTGGCGGTGGTTCAGCTATTACAAGGCCCGCAGCGTGCTCGAGAAGCTGCCAAGCAATCCACATCCTCTCCATTCCCTCTTCTTTTTCCCCATCACCTCCCATTCAGGCCTGGGCGACGAGTGGCGGTGGTTCAGCTACTACAAGGCTCTCAGTGTGCTTGAGAATCTGCCCTTCCGCATCGCTCAACATACCCCCTCTTTCCCCCCGCCCCTCCTTTCCCCCCTCTTCCCCAGCCCTGGGCGACGAGTGGCGGTGGTTCAGCTACTACAAGGCACTCAGTGTGCTTGAGAAGCTGCCCTTCCGCATCCGGTCTGCTCAGCAGGTGCAGGGGCTGCCCAGCATCGGGTCTTCACTTGAGGGCAAGGTGAGTACAGAGGCAGATGCTTTTGTCGCAGCATTGTCATCACAGCTCTGCTCAGCAGGTGCAGGGGCTGCCCAGAGCATAGGGTCTTCACAGCAGGGCAAGGTGAGTGGGAGGCGGGAGAGGGAACAGAGGGAGATGTTAACATAGGTAGCTCAGTTGTCATTTCCGCTCCGTGCAGCAGGTGCAGAGGCTGCCTGCCATAGGGTCTTCACTGCAGGGCAAGGTGAGTGGGAGGATGGAGAAAAACGTTAAGGTGATCTATTCGCTGACATACATGAAGATGAGAGAGGAAGGAGATGGTTATCTGGGAGCCATGCTTGTTTGGCGTCGGGTCACCTTGCATATGCCTTACACGTTGCACGTTTACCACCCTTGCTGTGTGCATGAGTCCATGTGTGCATGTGTGCGTGGTTCTGCACGCGTGCATGCATGGTGCTATTCGCATGCAGATTCAGGAGATACTGTCCTACGGCATGATTAAGAAGCTACGGGCGTATCAAGCAGACGACATGGTGAGGTGAATGTATGTAACGAAATAATTGGGAGAGGATAGGAGGAGTGAGTGAGACAGGCAAGATCCTTGCTCCCTACCTACTCCCACTGCTACCATTGCGAACCCACAGGCCCTCGTCCTCACATGCTCACACTACGCTCACCTATGGACGACTGCCACGTCTACTTCTCCTGTTTTGAGACGTCTCAGAAATCATGCTCACGCTACGGGCACCTATGAAAGACTGCCACGTCTACTCTTCCGGCCACTGATCGCTGCAATACCTCTCATGCATTCCCACTCCCTCCGTACCCTCCCTTCCTTCTCTGTCCCTCTCCCTCGCTCTCAAGTCCGCACGCTCGCTCTCTTTGGCACAGTCTGGGGCGTCGGTCCTCGCGCCGCCCGCCGCTTCTACTCCGCAGGCCACCGCTTCTACTCCGCAGGCCACCGCTTCTACTCCGCAGGCCACCGCTCACTGCGCCAGCTTCCGTTCCTTCTCTTTGCCCCATGCCCCCCTCCGTTGCAGGTTCTTACGCTCGCCCAATTCGGCACTGTCTGGGGCGTGGGCCCTCTCTCCGCCCGCCGCTTCTACTCCGCCAGCCACCGCTCGCTGTGCCAGCTCCTAATCCTGCTCCTTACATGCCGTTCCTGCTCTTGGTTCCCTCGCTCGTTCCCCCTCAGGTTCGCACGCTTGCCCTCTTCGGCACGGTCTGGGGTGTGGGCCCCCGCACCGCCCGCAGATTCTACTCCGCCGGACACCGCTCGCTGCGCCAGCTGGCGGCTGATCCCGGCCTCACGCCAACTCAGCGAATCGCGCTGCGGTTCCACGAGGATATGAACAAGCGGATCCCGAGGGATGAGGTGGCGGCGATGGCAGCTCTGGTGGTGAAGGATGGGGAGGCGCTTCAGCCAGGGGTGGGTCGTGGTTGCTTTGGGTGATGCTTGGGATGGGTTGTGCCTGGGGTAGTTTGCGCTGTGGTTCCACGAGGATATAAACAAGCGAATCCTGCGGGATGAAGTGGCGGCGATGGCAGCTCTGGTGGTGCAGGAAGAAGAGGCACTTCCAGGGGTGAGTGCTGCTTTTACGGTGTTGTTATTGAAGCTAGTGCTGCGTTCGTGCGACCAAAGTTGCTGTAGCTTTGTTCGCCATGTTACAGCAAGGTGGCTCCACCAGAGCTGTTTGGGAGTCACTGTTGAAATCTCTCAAAAGTGACTCCCCAATTGCTGTAGCTTTGTTTGCCATGCAGTGGCGGCACCACCAGAGCTGCAAGATGGAATGATTGAAACGAATGAGGTGGCGGCGGGGGCAGCTCTGGTGGTGGAGGAGGGGAGGCGCTGCAGCCTGGGGTGAGTGCTCCCAGGGGTGAGTGCTGCCAGGGGTGAGTGCTGCCAGGGGTGAGTGCTGCCAGGGGTGAGTGCTGCCAGGGGTGAGTGCTGCCAGGGGTGAGTGCATGCACTCACACGCATGTTTGTGCATACCGCTCATACCCCTCACGCGCATGTGTGCAGATCTCCATTGTGTGTGGTGGGTCGTATCGCCGGGGCAAGGCGACATCAGGCGACATGGACTTCATTATCACACACCCCGATGGTGCCAGGTGTGTGTGTGTGTGTGTGTGTGTGTGTGTCGATGACTGAGTGTGTGTGTGAGTGAGTGTGTTTGTGTGTGTATGTGTGTCGGTGACTGAGTGTGTGTGTGTGAGTGAGTGTGTTTGTGTGTGTATGTGTGTCGGTGACTGAGTGTGTGTGTGTGTGTGTGTGAGTGAGTGAGTGTGTGTGTGTGTGTGTGTGCACTTCCGCCCACAATGCTTCCATTTGCCCCTGCAACGTTTTGACTCCTTCCCTCGCCTCTCCCTCTCACCACAGCCATCGCGGCTTCTTGGAGAAACTGGTGTCTTGTCTGAAGCTCGTGGGCTTCCTATCAGAGGACCTGATGGTCGGCACGCACCACTCACAGCAGGTGATGCGAGGTTGCAAGGTTGCGAGGTTGTGGGGTTGTGAGGTTGTGGGGTTGTGAGGTTGTGGGGTTGTGAGGTTGCGAGGTTGTGGGGTTCTGGAGGAACGTAGCTTTGGAGAAACTGGTGTCTTGATTGAAGCACGTGGGGCTCCTAACAGAGGACCTGATGGTCGGCACTCACCACTCGCAGCAAGTGAGCCGTCATCAATGCATGGGGGGCTGTGAGGGCGCGAGAGGGACGTGAGTCAGGGGGGGCTGGTAACTCGTCTGAAGCAAGTGGGGTTCCTGACAGAGGACCTGATGGTCGGCACTCACCACTCGCAGCAGGTGACAGACTCTCTGTGCTGAAGTATGGCAGGTGAGGGTCTATGGACTGGCGCGTGTGTCGACTGAAGCATGTGGGCTTTTTAACAAAATCCCGATGGGTCGGCACTCACCACTCGCAGCAGGTGATGCGCTCTCACTACTCGAGCATGTGAGGCTAGGCGTTGGAGGGAACTTCGCCAGTGATATCATTGTCCTCTGTTATTCCTCCAACGCCTAACCTCTGGGTGCATGTGAGGAAAAGGCCGTGGACACTAACTTTGGGCTGTGCAGGCAGGCAGGCAGGCAGGCAGGCAGGCAGGCAGGCAGGGAGGGAGGGAGCCAGGCAGGCAGGCGAGGTAAAGCACCCCTTCTTTTCTCTGGTTCCCATATCCCTTGGCAGCCCCAATGGTGAGGGCAAGGCCGTGGATGGATCCTTACTTGGGGCTGTGCAGGCAGGCAGTCCAGGCCAGGCAGTAATGCAGGGTGGGAGGGGCAGGGGACAGGGGGCAGGGGATAGCAGGGGGTAGAGGGCAGGGGGTAGAGGGCAGGGGGTAGAGGGCAGGGGGTAGGGGACAAGGGTGTGGACACTTTCTTTGGACTGTGTAGGCAGGCGGGCAGGGAAGCAGGGAAGCAAACGAATTAAATCACCTCTCATCCCCACCTGTTCCCATCTCCCTTGGCAGCCGCATGGTGAGGGCAAGGGCGTGGACTCTTACTTTGGACTGTGCAGGCAGGTGGGCAGGGAGGCAGGCAGCCAGGGAGGGAGGCAATAGAATCAAATTAACCTCTTCTCCCCGCCGTTTCCCATCTCCCTGCAGCCCCACGGTGAGGGCAAGGGGGTGGATACCTTCTTTGGACTGTGTAGGCAGGCGGGCATGGAGCCAATCGATTTGAATCAACCTCTTTTCCCCGCCGTTTCCCATCTCCCTGCAGCCCCACGGTGAGGGCAAGGGCGTGGACACTTACTTTGGGCTGTGCAGGCAGGCGGGCAGGGAGCAACGGCACCGCATAGACTTCAAGGTAAAGTGATTCCTATATCGCGTTGCCCACTGGCTGCTGGTTTGCGGATGGGATAGTTTTTTTTTTGGCCTTGTACCATGTGGATTGTGGTATACTCATGGAGTGCTTATGTTATATGTTATATGCTTGTCGTTTTAATTAACTTGCAGGTGTATCCATGGGAGCAGTACCCTTTCGGGCTCATACAGTGGACTGGCAATGATGTTTTCAATCGACGGTGAGGATGGTAGGAAGGATGGTGGGGGGATTTGGAATGGACGGCTAAGATGGTGAGACGGCATCATTAGGCAGCAAGGAAGGTGGGGAGATTGGAATGGATGGCCAGGATAGCAATTTGTTCGTTATAGGCAAGGATGGCTGCACGATAAGCAGGCATTTAGGTTGAATCAATTGAAACCTAATATATATATATGTATATATATATGCGAATGCATTATAAGAGTAACATCAATATGCCTGAACACATTCTGACATCCAAGCCCTTGTCTCTCCATTCCCCTTGCATCCCTTCCCCCTCACCCACATGTGCATGCCCCAGCATGCGGCTGTTTGCAGAGGCCAAGGGGTACTGACTGGGCGATCATGGGCTTGTGCTGTAAGATGCACATTCATGCCCTTTTCTCTCCTCTTCCACGTGTGTCCCCCACCCACCCATGCATGCCCCCCACCCACCCAGCATGCGGCTGTTTGCAGAGGCCAAGGGGTACAGACTGGACGACCATGGGCTCGTGCTGCGAGATGCTGTAAGTTGACACGGTTTTGGGGGCGTCTAAAAATATGAAAAATGCTGAGAGATTCTGACTTGAAAGCCTGTCGTCCCATCACATGCCTCCCATCACATGCCTCCCGTCACATGCCTCTCATCCTCCATTCTTGATTACTTGCATTCTCAACAGAATTGCGCACATGTTACTCTTACCCCAGCACCCCAACGATTTTTCACTCATGCTATTTTTGCCTCTCTTTTCAGTCGGTTAAATAACACCATGATTCCACACATGCTGTTCTGATCCCATCACCACCTAACAGGTACCAGGCACGGCGGCAGGAAAGTCAGTGCCGTGTGGGAGTGAGAAGGCAGTGTTTGACTTCTTGGGATTGCCATGGCTGGAGCCTCACGAGCGCAACTTGTGACAGCGCAGGTTGAAAATGAATTGTACTGTACATGCTGCTGCTGCTGCTGCTGCTGCTGCCACTGCTGCATTGCCATGTTGAATTCCTGGGACTGCAGTGGCTGGAACCTCACGAGCACAACCTCCAACAGCAGAGCAGCAAAACCAGAATGTTGCAGAGCTTCTGGAAGGATTCTCTCAAACATGCTGCTGCTGCAGTTGCCGCTGCTGGAGTGCATTGTTGGCTTCTTGATGCTGCTGTGGCTGGAGCCTCACCATGTGCGCAAGCTGTGACAGCAGAGGTTGAGAAAGCTCCAAAAAAACCCCTTATCAGGGCCTCAGATTCGTTTTGGCCTAGGCTGAAAAAACAGAGTTGGCACAAAACGTTTTGCTGAAAATCAGACAAATCAGCCATTTTATGCCATTTTACTCTACAAATCTAATAGAAAATCATGTTTCTTTTCAACAAATTGCTGAAAAATCAGCCTCAGTTCTCAATAAGGTATGAAATCTCAGCCTTTTTTACCTAAATCCGCCTTTTTTCGCTGACTTCTGAGGCCCTGCCCCTTATGCATGCTGCGGCTGCTGATAGGAATCCCAAATGTGCTGCTGCTGACAGATTATGCTGCTGCTGCTTAATGTGGATAGCGGTGCATCGTCCTGTGGAAGTGCAACACCAAGATACCAAATTACCAATTTAGAAGCAATTTCACAGCAAACAGAAGCAGGCATTTTGCAAAGCTGGATGCTCGAGTAGGTGTACATGTCCATCCATGGCAGGTTTCACGTGCGGTTTCTTCATGGCAACAAGCAGAGAGTCTGAAACTAGGCATTTTCGATTGGAATTGTGCACATTCATGCAGGGGCTCTAGCAAGAGCTGAGCCTCTCACTCTGACCCAGACAAAGGCCAATAGCTGGAAAGCCAATAGCTGAAGCGGGCCAGTGGAGTAAACCATACTTGCTTACCTACCATACACCCAATGGACAATGGACATTAGCGCACCAACAAAACCAAAATTCCTGCCTGGCATTCCCTGCAGCATCCCACTGTGTCCCTGTGCGCCTGCCGCAGGAGCATAGGCAGCCCCCTGGTGATTCAGGCAGCTCAGCCCAGGCAGATTAGGAACTTCAATTCAAACCCGTTCCGGCAGATCAGAAAGCAAGCAATTCAGGTGGTTTCGGCGGTGTAAGCGGTTTCATTCATCTCAGGTGAGCGGTTTAAGCGGGGACCTTGGAGGCGATCTTCTCCTTGGACTTGTGCAGCTTGAGTACCTTCTTCACGATCTTCTGCTCCTCCACCAGGAACGCACGGATCATTCTGTTGCAAGGGGATGCAGAGCAGGCAGCGAGAGAGCAGAGCAGGCAGCGAGGGAGCAGAGCAGGCAGCGAGGGAGCAGAGAAGGCAGCGAGGGAGCAGAGCAGGGATGATTCTGTTAAAGGGGAGCAGTGAACATCAGAGCAGAAAAGGAGAGGGGGAGGGCGAAAGGTGACATTTGAGTAAAGCCGTAAGTCACTTGTGCTCCTCCATCACAAAAAATCAAATTGCTTTGCAACAGCGTTGATGGCTAGAGGAGAACAAACGGGAGAATGGAAGTGCGGGAAACGGCGGAGTAGGGCATTGGAAGGGGGGTGATGGGAGACGGGGAACGGGAAGAGGGGAACGGAGAAGGGGGGAATTGGAGAGGGGGAAGGAGGAATGTAAGGACAGAAAGAGAGCTAAGGGCAGAGGGACGTTGATGGGGAAACGGTGATGAGACAACGAGGCAAACAAGTGTTATAGCAGTCGACCCCTTGCATCAGCTTCTGTGTACAACCATCTCTGGGTTCCACCAGAACTCCCTCCACCGTAATCCCTCCCCCGTTCCCCTCTCCCCACTTTTCCCCGCTCCCCACTTCCCCTTTTCTCTCCCTCTTCCCCACCTTAAGCAGTCGTCGGGTCACATGCTGCAACGGCAAGCAAGCAACGGCAAGCAAGCAAGCCACCAGAGGAGCGAGGAGGAGCATGGTGGACAAATGGAATGGGAGACGGGGAGGTGGGGGGTTGGTGAGGGAGGGAGGAGAGGAGAGAAAGGGAAAATTGCTGAACCATGTGAGGTTAATGGATAACGTTGTAAATGAACGATATAAGGTTGACGGTTGACATTGTTAGGGGCAGGAGGGGCAAGGGGACAGGAAAGATGAGGGTCATGTGGGATGAGGGGGTTGAAGGGTGTGTGGGGCGTGAGCAGAGCAAGGAAAGGTTGGGGGGAGGGAGGAGATGAGGGTTGAGAGACGGAGGTGCGTGGGGGGAGATGAGGGGTGAGCAGAGGGGGAATGACAGATGGATCCAGGGGGAGGGAGTGGGGGAGGGAGAGGGGAGGGGGGATAAGGATGCATGGGATGAATGGGTGGGAGAAATGAGGGGTGAGTGAGGGGAAACAATGAGGAAGGACTGGGGGAATTGGGGGAACGTAGGGTGGATGGAGTGAGGGATGAGGTGCGAGTGAGGGGGAAGGGGAGGGCATGGTGGGGAAAGCGGATGTGGGGTGAGCGAGCATGTGTGTTGGGGGGGGGAGGGGAAGGGGGAAGTGGCGGAGGGGGGACGAGGGGTGGTGCGGGGGTAGATAGGCGGAAATCGCAGGGAGATTAGCGGAGAGGGGGAAGTGGGGGGAGATGAGGAGGGAGCGGGAGGGGGGGGAGGATGAGCGGAAAACGGGGGTTTGGGGGACGAGTGAGAAGGGGAAGGAAAGGGGGGAGGGAGGGGGAGGGGGAGGGTTGGGGAGAAAGCGAGGGGAGGAGAAGAGGGGGGGAAACGGGGAAAGAAGACGGTCCGCGACGTCGCCTCTCACCAGTCTTCTGCCACAAGGTGCAAAACGGGGCTCCACGAGGCGCCTCAGCGTCACCGCCCGCTTCCCCAGCGTCGTCTCTCGCCACGAAAAAAAAAGGGGTCTCCCGTCAGTTTTGAGGCGCGTCAAAAGTCACCGCCCGCTTCCCCAGCGTCGCCTCTTGCCACGGAAAAAAGGAGCCTCTCGTCGGTTTCTCACCATCTCATTCCCGCTACCTTTGCCTCCCCTTTTTACCTTAACCATCGTGTGCAAACGCGATCCTGGGGCGTTACAGAAAAACCCGCCATCCTGAGGCTTCCTCCGCCTGCCTAACGGACCAAGGCGACGCATTGAGGCGACGCACTGAGGCGACGCTAACAACGCGCTCTCAAATCAACACTGCTAATGCGTTCGCAAACTGACGCTACGAATTCGTCCGCAAACAGAGATCGCTATCTTATCCAAAAAACGTCAGGTCTGAACTAGTGACTACCAGTCAAACGCCTGAATCGCGCAACTTACACCACGCCACAAAAAAACCCGATATTGGTGATAGTTACGGTACTAGACGTGTGAAGCACCACGGATAGCGCGACTGTCATTAGCTACGGTCATCGCTGATACTAATGTCGCGGCTTTAGGGTAAAGACGAAAGGCTAACCTGTTACAGAGTAGATCTGACGAAAAGGACATCCTGGATGGTAGGAGAATGCTACGCGAAACTACTCCACGGTGACTCAATCTGACGGAACTAACGTTCGGTAATTCAAGCCACCCTTGATTAGCGTAACTGATGGGTTAGAAGAATGAGGTGTGGGAGATGGAAAATGTGAGGTGGATGTGGCTGTGCTGGCTGTGCCACGATGGCAGAAACGCCCCCTCATTCCTATTGGCTCGCGCAACTCATTTTTCAAGCACCCCTTGCATTTTCAGCTGCCCAGCACGGATTGCGAGCAGCAAAACCGGTTGCGAGGGCAGCTGAATAGCTGCTTGTTCAATCACGCACAAGTTTCTGGTCCATCCCAACCAACGCCGTCCCGCACCTCACGCAAAAAAATATCGTCGGCGAGAAGAGAATTAATTACCAAATAACACGGCTCCTAACAAGTTCCAGCCTGGCCTAGGTCCATCCCTGCCAAACGTATTCCATCCACCATCCATAGAGAGAATTGCTCCACTCGCTTGTTTGGTGATTCTCTCTTGCCCACGTGTCCCCGAATTGCTCGCGTGGCCATCCAATTCAGTGGCCATGCCAGGGCATTTTAGATGTGTTTTTTTTCCCTGGCACATAGCCCTACAAGGCTTCGTACCCCTGAAATTCCTTGTTCGCACAACAGTAGATGCGCGGTCATTTTCGGCCCAATGCGCGACCAATGAGCGCGTGGGCAAATACATCAGCGATCATAAACTGCAACGCCAGAGCATAAATGCACAAACATATTATTGACCGCGCACGATTGGTCGATAATATGCTTCTTGCCCCTTTTGGCAATGCGCGTCCAATCACGCACAGTCATATAATTCACGACCATATATTTAGGCGATAAAGGGTCGCCCAACGACCAATATGAGCGCGCATATACTACAATTAGTTCTATCATATTTCCGGTCCATATAAAACCATGTATATCAAATGCCATAAATATAATCTCTGCTATTAATTTAGTACTGGCGAAAACCCAACGGCACGCGGCAGCGTTGAGAAGTCGGGTGGGACGGGTTGGGTAGAGAGTCGCGAGTGAGTGAGATGTCTGCTGCCTGGGTTGAACCTTTACTACGCTAGTTGCCCGAGGAAGATTTCTGTTCCACGGCGAGTCTCTCGAAAC